CCCCCCCACACACACACATTGCCTTCTTTCCCTTTATAGCACAGGATGAGCATTTAGGGCCTAAATGCAGCTGGAAAATGCTAAATGCTGGCAGTTCTGAGTGGCAGCCTGTCCTCTGCACAGGGTTGGTGGTGCTTGCTCATGACATTTATGAGCATTTGAAAGTTGTCCCACACCGTTTCTCTTGCTCACATCTGTTTTCCTTTGCCCCAGACGCGTCTACGTGAATGTGTCAGTGTGATCTAGTAGAACAGAACTCTGGGCTTTAGCCCCCAATTTCTCTAAATGGTGTTCTCCCCTTAGGCTGGCGATTTGACATCTCTGGAACTTAAATTTTCCTTGTCTCTAAAAGGAAGGGGATTGCCCCTGTCTTGCATATTTCATGGAGCTAAGATGCTCCAATATGAAAACGTCTTAAGCAAGGCCATGTGCATAGACTGCTATTATTCATGGCCCATCCGCTGCACTAGTTCTCTATCTGTAAGTAGGGGTACCACACACACAGTTCCTAGAGAGGTGACAATCTATCCTATTTGAAAAAAATCTTCCCTGGGACATGCGTCCATCTCTGCTGTTAGGAGTGTCTCCTTTATACATAATTGAAACCCGTCTTTGTCCAGTTAAACATTATTTCCCCACTTTTCTTTCTTGTAGACAGCAGCTGCTGACCCTGCACCGTCCGTCCAGTCAGCAGAGCTATGAATCATGTTGAGTTCCCCTTTTTTGTAGCATCTGTAAACTGCTTTCTCCCGGCAGCAAATACTATAAATATGAAATTACCAGCAATTGCACAGCAGAGGAAGGAGGAACTGTGCGTGCTCCCTCTGGCTGCAGAGGAAAAAAGACAAATTCTCGGTGTAACATACATTTTCCTGACTTTTCATACCCAAACTAAAAGCTTTGAAGACACAGCAGCCATTTTTGTAAAGAGCTGTAGTTGAGTGTTTGGAGAATGCTAACTATTTACGGCCACTGGAGAGTCTGGAATCTGGGGTAAACACTGCCTGGGGTTTGTCCTCTGCGTTTGTCCCCTCTTCCTGGCCTTGCATGGCCTCAGCATGGTGCTCCCCTGAACAGTCTATTTCATCCAAGTGCAATTATACACACTGCACCTGCTTTGGACTTCTGCTGGCTTGCTGTAATTCCTTTATGTAAATGTGATTTTTCAGAAGTTGATTTTAAACTCTTTTCTAGTTCTTTATCTAAATTATTAATTTTAATAGAGGTGTTAATGAAAAAAATAGTGTTTCTCCCTTTTAAAAAAATTTATTGACTTTTAGAGAGAGGAAGGGAGAGAGAGAGAGAGACAGACAGACAGACAGACAGACATCAGTGTGAGAGAGAAACATCAATTGGATGCCTCTCATGTGCACCCGGACCTGGGACCAAACCTGGGTATGTGCCCTGACCAGGAATTGAACCTGCCACCTTTTGATGTACAGGATGGTGCTCCAACCAACTGAGCCACGCCGACCAGGGCGGTATTTTTTCTTTTGGGTAATTGTTTCTTTTTTCCTTGCTATGGGTCAGTTGGGAAGGAATAAAGTCTGGACAGCCATCCCCACCACCCCTTGTCCTTTGCCTGAAGTTGGAGCTCATAGTTTACACTTTCCCAATATGTCCATTCATTGTGGCCCAGCATTTTCTCTGCAAGCTCCCCCTGGGTTGCCTCCAGAGTGGAGACTGCGGTCCAGTGTCCCAGGCCCGGCCTTTCCACAGCGACAGCACTTTAGAGCCTGCTTTTCCTGGATGGATGTCCCCAGGGAAGCATCTGCAGCTCCACCACTGGAGGCTTTCCAGCCATTCCCCTAAAGCTAATCAAGAGGAAAATAACAAGTGAGAGCAGATCCCCAGCCTCAGGCACAAGGGAAGTTTTTATCAGTGATTCTTTTATTTTTCCTTGCATTCCAGGAGGATTCGCCCTCCCCACCGCCCCTTTGCCCTCTTGTGAATTAGAATTTTCTACTGTGCATTTGCTGTCCTGTGCAGCTCATGCCTCTCTCTTTCACAGGTCAGCAAAACTGGTGCCGAGGGAGCTGTTCTCGATGAAGCTAAAAATATCAATAAGTCTTTGTCTGCTCTTGGAAACGTAATCTCCGCCTTGGCAGAAGGGACAGTAAGTGATCCTGCCCCCATCTATTAAATGATATTATGAGAAGTCGCCTTTTTGGGTGCCCGCGCTCTTTGCCACACACTCCAGAGATTTGCTTGTTTTTGTTTGGAAAGAGACAGAGGGAATCTTGGTTGTGGACATCTTGCTTTCTGGGAGATCCAGTCCATTAAAATGTGTGAATGGTGATACTAATTTCCTGTGACCCAGGTCCCAGGGTGGGCATGCTAAACTTTGGCAAGATCCAAAGACCAGGCAACGCCTTATTTCACACGTGTTTCTAAGCCCAGGGTCCTCATCACTAACTTGCTTGCCTCTGTTTTTCCTTTGAACGGGCTGTCACGGCCAATACCTTTTCTTTTCCTAAATAGAAAACCCATGTGCCATATCGGGACAGCAAGATGACTCGGATTCTTCAGGACTCTCTGGGTGGGAACTGTAGAACTACTATTGTTATTTGCTGTTCTCCTTCTGTCTTCAATGAAGCTGAGACCAAATCCACGCTGATGTTTGGACAAAGGTGGGTGTGGTCTCTCGTTACCCACCCTCTGAGCTGGGTTGGAGGTGGCAAGGGGCTAGATCCAGAGAGGAATTAGAGTGAAGGGGACAAGTAGCTTGTTACTAAATTGCGTCTAACAGGTGATCTGTAAACTTGAGGCATCATTTATTGAAGCCAAAGAAATAATCATGTTTTAAAATAAGGGGCAGGAATATGCCAATCAAAGGTATGATGTTTAAAAAAACACTCCTTACATAGATGTGATTATCTGTAATTCAGTGGAGTTTTACTTTTGTTCTTCATGAAATTAAATCTGACTCTCAGGCCCTGGTGGAATAGCTCAGTTGGGCAGAGCTTCGTCCTGATACGCCAAGGTTGCGGGTTCAATCCCCGATCAGGGCACATACAAGAAACAATCAATGAACGCATAAATAAATGGAACAACAAATCGATGTTTCTCTTGTTCTCTCCCTGCCCACCTCCCTCTTTCAAATCATTAATAAAAAAAAAGTCTGCCTCTCAGGTTCACAGGAATTCAGGGGTATCCAACTCAAGATTAGTCACTACCTTTAACTCCAGTATTTGAGATTCATTGCAGAGGAGCTGATAGAACAACCAGAAGCTTAGATGAATGTAGAGTAGTTGCATAAACATTAAAATAGGGGAAAGGAATCACCATGCTAACCTTGAGGTAGGAGGTTCAAAATATATGTTGAGGAAAGGGGAAGACAATAGCCATCTTCTCACCTTCAAAATGTCCAAATGAGATCCTAGATGTCTGGGCAGTGTTAATAGGTGGGCAGCAGGGACACCTCAGCAACCCTAAAACAGCGTTCACGTGTGTGGGTTAGTTCATACCATCCTTTCCTTTCTTGCCCACCCCTCTCCGTTGCCCAAGGCCTAACTTACAGTCATGGTCCCTCAGCTCTAGGTGTTTAGCCCCATCCTCTTAGCATGGCGAGCTCAGGTGCTAGTTCATAGAGTGCTTGGGTGCTGTGGATTTGGGTGATCTAGCACCTTTAGTGCTCAGTGGGCTGAGCCCAGACCTCAGGCTGGGAGATATGGATTCTGCTGCCATCGTTGCCTCTAATTCTGAACACTTGTGGAATCTTTAGACTAGTGACCGGTTCCCTGTGGGCATTAGTTGCCTCATTTTTAGATGGATGCACAGAGTGCTCCCTCTGCCTGTCTCCTGGGAGTATGTTGTTTGGTCATACTTGAGAAATAGCTTACGATGCCTATAGAAAGGACAGACAGGGTGAGCATTCTGTATGGGAAATTTTTGCTGCTTGGTTAAATTGCATTAAAGCCCAGTCATTTCCTGAGCCCTCAACAGAACATAGTTATGGCACCTGTAAGATGTCTAAATAAATAATAATTACACTGAAATGTTGGAGAACTAATATATCTTAAACTGGATTTGGGTCCTTTACTTCCTCTCAAATCACTTCATTGATTAGCCAAATGCTTAGCTCAATGGATTTCAGAAGGATAACACCTTCTTTTCTTGAGGGTCACAGGATGCTTATAAACCAGTGTCTGCCTATGGGAAACAGAATAATTCTATGCCAATCATCCTTCCTGCCCTGCTCCCCTGGTTTCTTAAACTTAAAGTTTAATAGTTTCCTCTGAAGACATGTTTGAGCAACCAGCACCAAATGCATTTATAAAGGAAACATCTCTTTAAAAAATTTTTACCTGCAAAGCAAAAATCATGTGAACCTTTGCAAGTCAGAGTCATCCTGAGGCATTGGCTGTCTCTCTCAAGGCTGCTGCCATTAGTGGACATTTGCAGCTGTCTATAGGAAGAGTTTTAGGTACAAGTCCAAATGGCTATTTTCTGTCTTCTGATCTTAGTGAGACAGCCATTATCATTGTTATCACCAGCACTTTTTTTAGGCCCTCATGTGCCAGGTACGTCAGAATCCTCCTAGACATTCTATCAGGTAGGATGAAATTGAGACTTAGGCTCCAGAGACAGCTGGTAAATGACTAAACATGTTGGATGTCATAAGGTGGAGACCATATAGTATGACCCACAGCCTTTTACATCCAGGGTGCTGATCAGAAACTTTGATGAGCATAGGCGTCCGGGATCAGTGACTCCAGTTTGAAGGTAAGTTCTGCTACTGACCCATTCTCTCTCTTACTTCTCTGTCAGCTCAGTCTCCTCACCTGTAGGAAGAAATATAAAAATGTCTACTTCTGAGAATTGGTGAGAGAACTAATGAGTTGCTTCAGTTTTTACTTGGCACAGGGCTGTCATATAATCAGCATTCAGTGATTCAAGTTCCCCTTTCCTTCCATCTTCAACAGTCTTCAACAGTGATGCACCGAGGCTTGGGAAAGTCACGGTAATGTGACGGGTAGGCCTGTAATATAACGGACAGGACTGAGTGCATAGAATTAGAATTAAGTTTCTGGAATGAATGATTAAGTAAATACTGCTGATAATTTGGGATTCCAGAAAATAAAAAGTATGCTAATTATATTTTCAAATGAAATAGGTTGTCTGTAGCCTTCTGTCAGAGTCATCTGGATATTGGGCTCCATGAGGGCAGGGACTAGGTTTATCATTTACATCCATTGTCCCAACAAGCGCCCAGCACAATGGTACACACTAGGTGGCTAGTAAATAAGGGCTTGTCAAATGAATGAACAGACGAATCCAGTGCGTATTGTGTCGGATTCTGTAGAACATTAGGGCACTTGCTGAACTGTGACACCATTGTGTCCAGAAGTTTGGTTGGGTTTATAGCCAGTTTGTTTTCCAGCCTATAATTAGAAGTGTATGAGTTTTTGTTCCCTGCCTTCTATCTCCGAGTTGCTTAATGGCTTCTTCAAGGACATCTAACTTCTCTGTGGGCCACCACCTGCTTTATTGTTAAATATACGCATTGAACCCAATTATACAGCAGACACGAGTCTGAACATCGGATTAGACATGGCATCTGATAGCTAATAAGATTAAGCACTTTGAACTCAGAAAAGACTGCCGGGCACATCTCACATTCAGTGTAACGAGTGTTCATTATATTCTTGATGCAGGGACGGCCAGACCTTAGGGCAGAGCGAGGTGCCTTAGTTATTCCTACGTGGTCTTTCAAGGACAGGAAGAAAGTCCGGGTTTGTTGCTAGGCTATAGTGTATTGATGCTCTGAATAAAACAATAGTGTATCCTTTGAAGCAGTGGAAACATGGTGGAGTCTACAGAGGCCCGAGGGCGCCTACCAAGTCAGCACTCTCCAAGATTCTAGATTAGGTCCTGGAATTTAAAGGGAAAAATTCACTGTGTCTTTTTCTTGGTGTTAGTCAGGAAGTCTGGCTCTGCTGTTTGGTCAGGCCTGTCCCCTTCAGTCCCTGGAATGCCCAGCATTGTGCTAGTTAAGCAGTAGAAGCCATTCTCTGTGTTCTCAGAGAGCTTTGAATTAAGTCGAGGTGGCAACACATGAATTTCCAGACAGCAGAGAGTCAAAAAGCTGGGCTCTGTGGGAAAGCTGAATGCTTCCTGCTCTGAGGGGCAGGGTACCCAAATTAGAGCACTCTCATTGATCTTGTATTCTTCTGGCTCCCAGCATTTTATTTTTTAGTCTTTAATTACTCTTTCAAAGTAGTTTTATAGCACTATTTGAAAAGGATATTTATAAGTTTTAGAAGTATGAGCTGAAATCACCCAATTATCTGGGAAGCCTATTTAATGTACCTTGATTTTGGGTGGTAATGAAGGAAAAGGGAGCCCCCCATGGGGGGGCAGACCAATCACGTTAGAGAATTAGCACATCTTTGGCACTAAGAGTTTTTTGATTGATGCAGCATGAATAATTTAAAGACTTTATTTGTATGTGGAATGTGAAAGAAGAATTGATAATTTAGGGAAATATTCTTTCTTCTTTTCCTGATGTGCACATTTTTTAAAAATTGCATGCTTAGTTTAGTGGCAGCTGGATCAGGCAGACAAAGGCCCGAGTGGGGTATGTGCAAAATTCATGTCTCCAGAGCATGATACCAAGTTCCCTGCAGGGCTGCAGCGAGCACTTTGGCCAATGGAGACACTTGAAAACACTTTTGACATACAATGAAGAAAGACTCATATTACCCCCTGTTGGGGACCCTGTTGTTGAAACACCATTAGGGTTAATTTCTGCTCTTGGAGGGAGAGATACTGTGGATGACAGAAGTTTAAGCAGAGACCAAATTTTCATCCAGGTTGGTCTTTTCTTTTTTATTTGCAACTACATGATTTCACACAATTCTTTTATTTCACATACTGTCCATAAAGGAAATGCTCAAAGGTGCTAGAACAGGTAATCCACTCCTACAGTGTTCTTGTATGTAACAGAGTTGATGCACAGTATTTAAATACTCAAATCCAGTATTAAAAACTCAGGCACTTGACTGACTTTAATAAAGTTTCTCAAGCTATATCAATATATCTAAAGCGCATGTATATTTTAATATATTTTTTAGAAAGATTATTCTCAATAACGTCTCTATAAAAATAAATGTGACGGTTTAACCCTTCTACAGCTTGTTCATTTCTTAATGTTTCTTGGGAGACTAGAGCTTTTCGAAAGATAATATTTAAAGCTTTTAATTTCTTCTCCCCTATGTCCCTCACTCACAAGCAGGGAAATGGCCTTACCAGTAAATGGAAAGGTGTCTTGCTGCAGTCATGTTTCCAGAAGAAGGTTAGGCCTTTTATCTGAGAATCAGAGCAAATGAAAAAGTGTGACAGTTTTATGTGTCAGCTTGGCTAGGCTGTAGTACCCAGTTAATTAATCAAACACTAATCTGGGTGTTGCTATGAAGGTATTTTGTAGATGTGGTTAACATCTACGATCGGTTGACTTTAAGTAAAAGCACATTAGAAATCCTGCCATTTTCGACTACATGGATGGACCTTGATGACATTCTGCTAAGTGAAATAAGTGAGATGGAAAATGACAAAAATCATATGATTTCACTCATATGTGGAATATAAAACAAAAACAAAAGAGTCTCCCTCCCTCTGATCTTCAGTG